TCGCTTTCAACTTTGCACACAACACCATTGAACATTTTTGTGCCAGTCTCGCGACAGTTCCGAACTTTCTTTGATGAATGGTTCTTATGCTATGTCGCCGCAAACTCTTGAAACCGATTTTTTTCCCCTTTCGATGTGATATGTACAGTCATGCAAATAAAATTATTCAACATTCTAATTTGTCAATGCGTTTTTTAATGTGTAAACTTCCACCTTAGCCATTGTTTAAGATCGCTTTCTCGTTTCTCGTCGTGATTCTGCGCTTACAGCGCCATCTGTTGCTAACTTTGAAACTAAATTTTTTCTTCTGCCATACGCTTTCCGCCTTCTTCAATAACATTCCTTTCAAATTTCACATCATTTTCATCAGTGGTTCTTTTTTTGTAGCGTTTTGAAACTTAAACTTAATTATAATCACCCTGTATATAGTATTAAGAATTAAATATATAAGATTAAATATATTATCTACATATATATATATATAATTCTTAACTACTTTAAACTATTAGTTATTACTTTAAAACTATTTCAAGTTTTTTAAGCACTGTTTGTCATTACCACCACAGTTCCCTTGTTCACATTACATTTCTGAAAACTGATAGTAGTTGTTCATTTTGGCACACAACTTCAATAAAAACAATGGGAATTTATGCATTTTAGTTCACTATAGAATATGCATAAATACTCTATTTCTTTATGAATTTTTAGCTCAAGACTTATTTTTAGCTCTGACTCTGTTGTTTTGTGAAAAATAGGTAATATTTCATTCCTTGCACAGATATATATTCAGCCCGTATTTTGGTTCAACAACAACAATACTGGCATTTCAACATTTTACTACAATGTGGTGCAGAATATTTCATAAAGAAATTAAAACACTGCATCTTTAAGTATTCGTATATTGGATAGCTTTGCTTCAAGCAAATAATTCAACATTTTCTATTACAAATTCTTTTCAGACTTTAAACTTTAAAAGAAAGATCAGGTAATCAACAGTTATGCTTACCTATTTACTATATGTGTGAACTGTTATATTTTATTCTGTAAGTTTGCTCAGGTATTCTTGTATTACTATGAATGAATTTTGTTCAATTTCAGAACAGCTCTGCTCATTAGCATAAAATATATATAGCTAATCCGCATTAAAAAAAAAAGACTGCTTTATTTCATAACTGATCATTCAACCAGCAGCATTATAATATAGGCACAAAAGTCAATGAAAGAGACATCCAACATTTAAAGAAGAATTTCCTCAACAGTAAATTTTTACTGTTAATAGAACTAAAACATAACACATATTAAATTAAAAATTTCCTCTACATTGCTGTCTTGCACTCAGATCAGCAGTTATAAAACTAAACAAAATCATAACTTCAAAACATCAAGATTCTCATGATATATTCTTCTGTTGGATGACTATGTAAACAGTCAGTCTTCTTAAGGTCTACTTTTTTTCTAAGTTCTAGCCAATCTCTAATCTAAAATTCTCAATTATTACTTTTAAATGTTTTTATTGATGATAAATGGATTGATACCTGGCATGTCTCCTTTTATGATAGAAATATTTTAATTTACACAGGAATACAGATTAGTGCAGTGATTCTCAAACGGTGGTACACAACAGAAAAATAGGTGGTATGCAAAGAAACAAAGTATATTTAACTATTAAATTAAAAAATCTCGAGAAAAAAAAGAAAAATTGATAGAAATTTCCTGTCATTGAACTCTAACTGAAGATTTCAAAAATAACACACTTGTTAACTTTTGTCTGAACCCCCCAAAAAAGAATTTAAAGGCGTTTCACATAAAGCTATTAAAATTTTATTGCCTTTTTAAAGAACCTATTTGTGTGAACAATTATTTTCTTCCACATTTAATGCAGAACAAAATTAAAAGTGAATCCTAATTTACGGTTAAAGTTAAGTGAAATAACACTAGACGTATAGAATGAAGGTATAATAACTTAAATTTTGATAATTAAAAGGGTAACCAATTTTTAATTTCATATTTTTTATGTGTGCACATTTAATATAGCCAATAAGTTGTGCAAATGGCAAAATATATATACTTTTTAATATTTCTATTGAGAATTTGAAAAATAATCATTGTAAAATGTAGTGGTGGTACTCAAGTTTTCCAAATTTTTTTTAGATGGTACATGCTAGTCAAAAGGTTGAGAACGGTTGGCTTAGAGCGTTATTACAAGATAGCCAGTAATATTTTGTGAAAATCTGGGGGGGGGGAGAACTACCACTGTCCAAAATCATACATATTATTCTAGTAATTTTTGGCTCTACTTCTATAATTTTTTTAAAAAATTTAAAGCATTTTTAACAATCACATTTAAAAACATACACAAAAATATAAGCCAAGCTTTATTTTCTTAAAAGCTTATTTTATGTATGTTAATTAGTTTCAAACTCTGTATAATATCATTAATGAATAAAGCAAATGAATTTCTAATTGAAAAAATTCTGTTGAACAGTAAAAAAAATGTAGAATAAAGCTTCTAACTAGTAAATTTCACGAAATTTGGAGATGTTAATGCACTGAAACCTTAATCAGTACTGTTATTAGAAATATAGGATACAATTTAAAACAATACATTACTTTACAATCATGTACTGTTTTAAATTACAATACAATTTATACAATTTAAAATGTTATAAAACATGAAATACAAGTATTAGTGAAAAGACTTCCAAGATGGCCATAGTGTTTTTTATGCAAGGATGAAGCATCATATATGAACACTAGTTACACACAACCAGCTGTCAATTGCAATGATAAAAAACAATTTGATATTAGCATGTTCAAATGAGTAGTTTTCAGACATTCGAATTATAATTTATATTCATAAATTGAAGGAAAAACTGCCACTGACATTACTATATAAGTTCATTTAACTTTAACTAAAACAATGTCATTTTACCAGACTTGCAAAAAAGTAATTTACCCGATAAGAGAAAAAAAATTTATGTGGGCCATATGGTTTTCTTTCATACTAAGACTTGAGTCCATCCAAAAGCATCTAATGGGAGGTAGAATTGGGAGACATTCATTCAGTAATAGTCTGGCCAGGTTTTTTATGCCCAGACTGTAACTGAGTAAGACATACCAAGGAATTTTTATGTACTAATTTTGCTACTATAAGAAATAATCCACAGGTTTATGTGTAGTTACTATATTGCCTTCTTTGCACTACACAGACTATTTCCATATAGAAAAAGAGTGAAAATGCATCCATTCACATTTCAAACTACATAATGCAGGTCATCAGCAAGAAAATACAGGGTGTCACAAATAGAAGTGATAAAAAGAATGACACCTCTTTCTGAAATGAATGCATTTATTGCAATGTGGTTTACAAAGCTGGAAATAATTACTTGGACAGTTTTAAAACACATGTATGCGAACACCATTTGTAGGTTGGGTTATGTCTAGGTAATACTTTAGCTCATTTCACATATTTGAAAGCATCACTGGTGTGAGCAGCCCAATTGCTTCCATAATTCGGGCATGCAGATTTGCTATATTGGCTATAATTGATAAACACTTCCCTTTACACATCTGAACAGAAGGGGGAAAAAAAATCAAGGTCTGGCGAACACCAGAGAAAGAAATATAAAGGGTTCAAACGTCTGCCTCCACCCCAATCTTCTTAGGGAACAAAATTTTTTAGTTCTTTTTCTCAGCAGTGTAAACCACAAAGCAATAAACACTGATTTTGATTATATGAGTCCTTCTTTTTCATCACTTGTTTTCTGGACACACATTGCATTTTAGTTCCTCTGGATTATTCTCCATAATAAAACACCACTATGCATTTTTACATAATTCAAGGAACAAATTTTCTTATCATTTCCTCTCTGCTAAGTTAACAACAATATGCTGAACCCATATATGTCAATTTCCGAATCCCTACTCAATACTTAAGAAGTAGACATTTTTCACTGTAGCTGCCTGACAACAAATAAAAATAAAATTCCAAAAACCCCTAACTGTAATTCATAGCATTTTGATAGTATAACAAAAGACAAATTTCCAGATATTTATAACAGGACAATGGGAAATATGAGTCAGATCTTAACCCCTTTGCGCCGACTGTCACGTCTATGTGCCAGCAACGAACACACTCACTTCCCAGCCAGCACGCAGGCATGCCAAAGCGTTTTCCCATTCAGCCCCGACTGTCACGTATTTGTGCCAGTGTCCTGAAACGTTTTAAAAACTATAATTTCTGCCACAAGGTGGCACTGTATGTCCATATGATTTCAGATACATGTACATTAGACCTTCTACTCGAAATGAGAGAAGCATGACTCACATACACATGTTTTTGATTATATAAACAGAAGAGGGGGAATAAATGTTTGCGAATGGCGTGATTTATGACGTCTCTTTAAATTCGCACGTGGTAGTTGTTTATTGTAAGTAGAGAAGTTTTATTTTCGCTAAAGCGTTGGGTATTTCGGTTTGCAGTTCAGTTTTTAGAAAATAGTTAGATCTTGTTAGATGTGAATTCTTTCTGTTTTTGCCGTTGCAATGTCGAAGCGTCGAAAATGTTTAATAGAGCATGAAATAGCAGAAATGATGTAAAATATTTCAGATATTGATTCTAAATATATCACACCAAGATCAGCAGAATCATTAAATCCGCTCAGATTAACTGAAAGACATTTTCCAAAACTTTGTTCAGATGATACTGATAAGAAAATGAGACGACGATACTTCTTTTGTTCACATTCCAGGAAAAATCCTCCAAAACGGCAAATGAGTTATTACAAGTGCAAGGAATGTAACATAGGACTGTGTGTAGATCCCTGTTTTCAAATTATTCATACGAAAAGAGAATTTTAAGTAATATATTTAGTTTTCAGATGTATAATGTTAAAAGTCATAAAATGGTGAGTAATGATAATAAAATGTGTAAAATTTGCATTTAAACAAGAAATAAGGTAATTAAAGTATATATAAAAATATCTATAATGCATAAGCCGTTTAAATACTCTATAAAGCATTATTAAACAATGTGTTGATACTTCGGAAATTTCATGGATTTAGGCTTAATAGCAAAAATGCCCCTGGCCCTGGACAGACGCTCGCGTAAGACACTGCCGGCCTCTGCAATTAGCGCGTTTGCGCCAACCGGTGCGAAGGGGTTAAATGGATACCTGTAGTGGCTCTAAATTCTCATTATTAAAAAATGGAAAAATGTTTGAGCATTATGCCCCTCTAAATTCCCTTTTGCATAAATATACTAATAAATAACTTTTTGCACAAATATATAATAAGCTATCCTGAACTAAAAACTCGGAGAATATTCAGTAATTCAAGTACATATATCATCATAACTTTACAAATGTACAATTACATATTAAGTATAATGAGAATCCAACATTGTAAACACGTGTTAGCAAGAGAAAATACAATACACAAATTAACAAGTAAAATTTCAGGGAAAAATATCACTCAAATGGAAAAAAAAGAAAAAAAAAAAAAAAAAAAAAAAACTTGTCAAATTAAAGATGAAACTGCTTTTTAAGAGGACAAAAAATATTACATGAAGAAAAAATAAGATCTAATGTTATCAATCAATAATATGCTACAAGTGTTACTATTTCAAAAGAAATAGATTTATAAAACTAATAATTAAATCCCTTAAACTATGTAGTAGAAGTACTTTTATTCTCAGGAGTTGCTTCTTTTTTTGACTGGAAAAGAAGGGGAAACATGCCCAGTAAACAACCAATTGTCACTCCAAAGGCACGACCCTGAAATTAATGAATAAATTGTAATTAAATTCAATAGATTGATAAAATGCAAGAAAGGAATCCATAAAAAAGTTATAAAAGTATTATCATACAAATCTGAGAGTGAGCAATTAAGATAAAAAAGTGCTTTTTTTACTTACTAGATTTATGCACCATCTTGACCTGGACATCCCTGCTTGAGCTGGAGTTAAAGAAGGAGCCTTTACTCCAATTTTTGAAGCTATTATTTCAACATACCAAGCTGAGCTTTGAAGACGGAGAAGAAAAATATGTACAAGCATTTAAAATAAACGCAAAATATTTTATTTTGGAGACTTAGTAAAAATAAATTCATTCTAAACATGAATTTTTAATAATAATATATATAATTTAGGTAAAAGAAACACACTGAACAAATATTGATTTAGAAGTCAAACAACACAAATCAGCGTTATATTTGCAAATTTTCCCAGGACTAGTTTCGGTGCTATTACTGAACCATCATCCTCAGCTGCCAAATAGCAAATGAACAGAATAAAATATATTGATAAGATATTATAAGAATGGCTGGACAGGAGTTAAGCTACTGGCACCATCTATTGATGAAACAAGAAAACTAAAGCATATTTTCCTTAAAGGCTGAAGATAAAGATGGATTGGAATTATGCTCGTTAACAAGAATAGAGAGATTTTTTTTTTTTAATGTTAAATGCCTTTAGAAAATCTAATTCAACAATGGAAGATGTTTCTTGAATAATTTTGGTTGCAGAAAAATGGAAAGTGTAATTTTTAGGCCCACAATGCTGGGCAATAAAAGACTTCTGTATTTCCTTTTTCCTAACATATGCCTCATATTCTTTAATGCAAAATTTTAAGGCTCTTTTAGTTTGATCAATGTTAATTAAACCACACTGGCAAGAAATCCTGTAAATACGACAGGAAATCATATCTGCAATGGGATGCAAATATGATTTCCTTAAGTATGGAACTCGGAATTTTATTGATAGGAGAATAAACGACCCAAGAGTTAAATTTCTGTAAAATACGTGCAATTTTATAGCAAATGGATGGAAAGAAAGGAATGAAAACAGAATTCTTATAATCTTCTAACACAAGAGTGTGCTTTTTGTTGTCTTGAGACGAGAATTTCTTAACTGCTTGGGTGAAAAGCCCCTATCAATACCTACTGCTTTAAAATTATTTAGTTCTTGATCAAGAGCCAGTTTGAAGGAGCAAACTTGTAGTAGACGGAAAACAAAGGAATAAATTGAAGCTAACTTTTGTTTGGTTGGATGACATGATTTGAAATGTGGTGAAAGGCAAACCGATGAAGGTTTACAGTAAACAGTTGTAGTGAAGTTGGAAGTGTTAGGTGTGACCAAAATTTCGAAGAACAGAAGAGAATTGCATGTCTCAAGTTCAAAAGTGAACTGAATATTATCAATGGAATTTATTACTGATAGAACTTTAATTTAAATTATCTTTATTACTGTCAAACAGGGTAAAAGTATAGTCTAAGTAGCAGAACCCCACCGGAAAGTTTAGTTTCAAATAATTTTGATTCATAATAATGCATGTAGATATCATCCAGGATAGGACTAAGAGGGCCTCCCATGGCTAATTCCTCAATTCGCTTGTAATACTTATTTTGGAAAACAAAATGCATTTGTTTCAAACAGAGTTTAAGGGAAATGAGCTCATCAATTTAGATGCTCTTTCGAGCTCATTGGCAGCTGAGGATGATGGTTCAGTAAAACAATCAAAACTAGTCCTATGAAAATTTGCAAATATAACACCGATTTTTGTTGTTTGACTTTATATATGTAATGATTATTAAATTATCATTACATATATATATCTGAAAATATTAATACTTTGAAGAGACATATAAATGCCCTTTAATCTATTTTTGACACTGATGATATTTTAATAAAATAAGGCAGAGAATAAAAAATATGCTATCAGAACAGCTTTTAAAATTCATTTTACTTAGTTTGATATGCATTATGATTCTAAATGCTTTGAAAATTTTTTAACTTTCTGCTGATATCTACATAAATGTTAAAGTACAATGGTTAAATTACACAGAAAAGGAAATGAATTTTTCTTTCAAGAAATGAGAAAACTGTATATTATTTTCACATTTCCATCTAAAAACAGCACTGAAAATAGTCTTCCGTCAACTATTACTGCCAACCTTCCAGTATTCAAGCTTTCACATCCGATACTGGCTGAGAAGATTTGAGAAGATGTGAACTCTAGTAGTTTGACACAGTTGTAATCTTAGCAAATGAGTTGGATGCATAGTTTTTTTATTTTTTTTCCTTTTTCCCTTTAACATAAATATTAGAAAGTCCTCTGTGAAGGCTTTTCCCACCTAAGACACACAACCCTCTCATGTTTTGTTGCATTCAACTAAACTAACAAAACTAGGTTTTTCAGGAAGTGCCATCTTAAAAGCATAACTGCACTTAGCCTAGAACAAGGCATTATAAATTAAATAAAACCATTTGCTAACATGTCAAAATAAACTATTATGCTAGAAGTGTATCATAGATTCTAGAAACTAATAAACATATTCCAAAGTATCATTTATATTCGAAAATGCATTTGAATCTTAAATAAAACATTTCCCTTGTACACAAAAGATATTTTTAATAAGCCTACTAAAGACATATATCTTTAGCTGATTCTTTTGTAGCCACTTCCATGAAACAAAACTACAATTATTAATGGCAGAAAAACATAGAGCACATTAACAAAAAAAAAAAAAAAAAAAAAAAAAAAAAAAAAAAAAAAAAAAAAAAAAAAAGGAAGAAGAAAAAAAAAAAGAAAAAGGAGAAGGAAGTACATACACAATACAAACTACATGTCATCCGAAATCCAACAAAAACATGAATTATAAAATCAGGGTTTCCAATGAATTCAGCTTTTAGGATCCTTATGGAAAAGTTTACTAAACTAGTTATTTAATTATATCCAAGTATGTGAACAATTTCATATGCAAAGTACAAAATACAATAGAAGCATAACAGCAATATAAAAATTAACTTGATTCATCAATGCAGAGTAAATTAAAGAAAATATATAGGAAATATTTAACTATTCAGAAATTGTTCTAACTGTTCTAATACCTAGACTATTCAGAAAGGTACGCAAGTTTTAAAAAAATATCAAAATGAAAAAATAGCTTTATTCTGAAAAAGAAATTTATACCAATATATCATTATTAATAATATTACTATTTTGGCTTTCAAAATAAAACTAGAAATTAATAATTACATTGGATTGAAAAAAGTTTTTAATGTAGTTGGGTACGTTGGGTTATATGTTCGAAATGCATTTTTTAATAGATCTTATATAAATATAGGATTTTGATTTTCAAGGTGATAACAAACAGAATGACAGTTTTAATAACTTTAGACTGGAAATTTCTTCTGTTCACCTGACTTTTCTACCAAGAATTGCATTTTTTTAATGCAAAAGTTTACAGAATTTCAGCATATCCTGAGCTTTCTAGACAGTCAAGCTTTTATCATATTATTTAATGGATTTTCAGACCCCAAGTAGCAAATGCTGATCATTGATAACAAAAGTGTGAAATAGCAAGCTGCTGCAATTCAACTGAAGGGTAGTAGTGACATAAATCCTGTCAAACAAACAATATAGCATACCACAGGTATAAGTTACACGTGCTCATGCCCTGCAAACAAGTATGCAACTGCTGACTGTATGTTCTCATATTTCTATAGTCCAGACAAAGACAGTAAAAATATACAGTAAAAATCTGCTAGATGTTATAGATTTATTACATAATATCAAGTTTTCCGTATATGTAGCAGTTTTGAAATTTTCAACACTATAAAAAGAAACAAATGTTGATTTTCTCACTGATTTTGAGCAAAATGTTTACTTGCTCCATCTTTGTTTTGACAGAGTCAGATAGCTATAACAATAATCTTAACTATACAAACTGCATTTGCATAAATTTTGACTCAAAGACCTATTAAACAGGCTAACATATAACAAACTCTCATTGTCAGATTTTTTAAGAAAACTTTCCATTGATTGCAGTATTGGAATGGCAACAACTTGCCACTTAAATTAGTAATTTTACATCTTATTTTTGGGAGATTTATCAACTGATTTTTTTTTAAAAAAACTTAATTGAAAACTACCTGTAAATTAGGATTGAAAGGAACCTGAAAGTTACATATGAAAAATTTTGTTACAGATGATAAAATACTAATAATTATGCTAATTTAATTGTGGCACTTATTTCTGAAAAGAATTTATTGAATGTTTTAGAGTTTCATCAGATTCTGCACCAGTTTGTTTCACCATTATTTTTCATTTTGTTTCATGGTAATTTCCATTATCTAGAATATTACTTACATCATTCTACATATTTATGTTAATTGAATTTATAAGAATACTTCCTTAGAAATTAAAAAAATTACATTGCAAAGAAACTTACTCCAAAATTCAGACAGAACCACTGAAACCTGAATCACTGACATTCAGCTAGAACTACTAAATGAGTTCTGTCTCACTGCGAAAAAATTAACACTTTTGTTTTAAACTCAAAAGTGGTGCAGATGCCAGCCAAGCACCAATTATTTCAAAACATGTAATATGTTCAATATTAATAAACATGAGTATAATATTGTAATACAAAAAAGAGTGAAAAAATTCCATGTTAAGCAAAGTTTGCTAGACTTCTGCAATGAAATAAATGCTTGCTTTCTTAAGTAACACAAAGCTATCTAGCAGCAGTCAGTACACGCAAACAGGAACAATGTCTAACAATCGTATCCTGAATTTAAAATGAGTCAAAGGACAACACACACTACTTTTAAATAGAAAAATATGTGTGTTACCAAAATACTGTCCACACAAATACAAAACTTAATCCCATATAATTGCAGAGATGATAATGAGAGAATCTTGATAAGTCCATTAAGTATCGAAATAAGAAACATGCTTTGTAATATTAATTACTGCTCTGTATTACATTAACACTCTAAGCTGAGTGAAATTCCTTAATTTTAATTAAATTATTAACATAAATACTAGGTCATGACAGTGGCAGCTGCAATAGTGTTCAGGCCAAAATCAAAGGCAAGGATGTTTGTGCATTTCCCTTTCTTGAGGATTTATTATTAGCCTATCCCCCCATGAAACACTCTTGGTGATAAGATAGCTGAATGATTCATTGATTTGGCCATTCTCAACCCTTCCTTAAAAGTGTCTTGACCATTGTGAAAAAAATTACTCTACAGTTACTTTCCTCCTGCACTACCAACAATCTATGCACAACAACTATAAATATACAAAAAGTCACATTTTGAATGGAAAAGTAATTCTTACTTTCTGAAGGAGAGATAATAAAACTCTAATTAAGCAATTTTCAGTATGGTGCAGGTCCAGATGAAATTTCTCAGTGCTTCAAGAATTAATAAAATGACCTAGTTATAATATGATAAGGGGAAGACATACCCAATTCCTGCTACATCAGACAAAGTATTCCCCATTCCAGCAGCTAAATAAAAAGAGTTTATGATTATTATAAACAAAAAAGTTATTTTATTAAACACTGATTTGCAAAATATATGCAACTGAATAATTGATGCTCAAAGTAAGTACTGATATTTAACAAGCTTTAAAAATAAAAATTTTGTTAATACAGTACGAAGTCCGAGATTTGGAATTGTCAGGACTTTGGCAATTCTGGAAATTTTTTAATTTTAGATAAAAGTTTAAATCTAGTAAGATGACACGTAGACATGTCAACATTGGGGTTTCCCTTACTGTTTAGGTCAGACAGAAAAATGCTAACCACTCAAATGCAGAAAATGTGATTTTGGCCTATATCAATATGCCAATCATTCTGTTGTCATTTGCCACAGTGTGATTCCCTAACCAGCAGATGCAAGAGAGAAATATGTAAGAATTTCAATTAGTCAAGAGAAAAATCACATTTATGACACACCTGCTTCTTTTTTTAAAGTACAGTCAAAAGTCTTTAATCCGGAATGATCTACAATCCGGACCTCAAAGCTACAAACTTCCTGCGCATGCGTCATATGCGCATATGTTTAATACGCATAATATGTTTACGCATGACTGTACAGTCAAAAGTCTTTAATCCAGACTCGTCGGGACTTCAGCAATTCCGGATTATCGATTTTTCCGGATTATAGCTCATCAGTTTAAATCTGTTAAGATGGTATGCAGAAATTATAAAATTAAAAATATGAAACCGTAATTTATGAAATAAAAGAGCAATTATGATATAAAGGGTATCAAAATTTACAAAAAAAAAAGCTTAATATTTATTTGTTTACTTTATTAAATATTTCTTTCAATGTGCGCATGCATAAAGCATACATTAAGCATAGTCAAAATTAGAAAATTGAAACCAGAAAACTATTTGATGTGTACTCGTGATATTTATAATGACGAGGAATTTGATTTAAATCATATCAAAGATGGAATACATCAAGATGAAATACTACATTTAGTAAGGAATTATAAGCTGAATAAAATAAAAACATCTGCCCTGAAGATAAGGATAGTGCTGACAGATCAACTTCCTGTTAATTGCGCACCGCGACGTCCCCCCCCCTCGGCAGAACAGCGTGAAATTGATAAACAGATTTCGGAATGGTTAGAGAAACAAAGGATATGCCTTTATCCATTTTTTGCAGCAACTCCACTTTTTGTTTGATGGACATTGAAACATACTTTCGCTTTGTAGATCCTTTGGCAGCTCCAGCATCCAAACGTATTGTGTGCATGCGTGAAAGCATTATGCGCAGAAAGTTTGTAGCTTTGAGGTCCGGATTATAGATTACTCCTAATTATGGGTGTCTGGATTAACGACTTTTGACTGTATTACATTCTCCATTCCTAGATTTTATAAGGGGATATTTTTATTTATTTATTGTGCTAGTGGTGTGGAGGTCTAAATATTAGACAATTCTGGATATTGCAGGTCTAAATTTGGGACTTTGTACTGTACATGATTAGTGGATGTTACACCTGAATGGATGATAATATGCATCCTTCTTTTTTACATGATTACAAAGTCAGTTTTGTGATACATGTCACAGTACATATTTTATATACAGCCATAGAATCAGCAGAAAAATAATTTTATATTAAATGTAAAACATTTTCCATACAACATGCTCACAGTCAAATTTCTTCAGTTTTATTTTCATTCCCTCTACAGTTATTTCAGTTTTCAGTCATAAAAGTTCAAAGGGAAAAAAGCAATAATTTATTTTTTGCATAGGAAGTACTTTTAACAATCAAAATTATGCTTTTAAAACATCAGTACTACTTATACTTTTAAAAATCAAAAGTATGATTTTAAGACAGTATTAATTGTACAACAGCAATATATATTTTAAAGCTTTAACTTCATCTTCTTTGGCTGCTAATAAGTGAATAAGAAATATGAATTAAAAAAAATACAGCAAATGCAGTGGTTACATAGCTTCAGAATAGCTTTACTTGAATTTGTCCAAAAACAAAATTAATTTGGAATCCTAGGAAAGGATTTATTTCGATTTTGATAAATATAAAACCCAGGTACCAGATGAGCAATCAATAACTGAAGAATCTGAATTCAAGTATTTTAATATGAAACTTCAACATCAAAATTTGTCAGATTCATTGAATACGGCCAATACAATAAATGTTCCAGAAACTTTTAGTGTTATTAATTTTAAGCTACTGAAATTAAATATTCCTATTTTTCAGGTAACTTTAATGACTGGATGAATTTTAAAGAACTGTCTGATGCAACAGTGCATAAGACGTCTTCACCAAATATTAAAAAATTTCAGTATTTGACTGCATAACTTCCTGATGAGACATTTTCTATCATTCTTAAGAAGCATGGGCGAAACTGGGTGCTAAGTATAATAAAAATAAACAAATCATACAGTCATTAATAAAAATATTCTAGATTAAATATGCAATTTACAAGCAGATAACGATAATTTACAGCAGTTCATCTGATACTTCAGATAAAATTATTAGAAGCATAAAGGCTTTTAATGAACAAGTAACATCTATGAATCCATGGTTAATTTTTACACTTCTCAAAAAAAAAAAAAAAAAAAAAAAAAAAAGATTTGAAAACTCAAAATTTATGGATGTGAAAGACAGTCACGAAAATTTTTCTATGTTGGCATCTAGTTTGTTACATGGACATGTTAAAAGCCAATAACACTTTTAAATTCATTTGCTGAAAATGAAAGCATTTCATATCAGATTTCAAGTGAATCATGTAAGGATAATGGTCATGTTATCAAGTTTTACAGTGAGAAGTTCCACTGCACGATGCTGTAAAGCAATTGACATTAAAATATCAACAGACTGTGGAAATGAATCTTTGTTTATTCTGAACGAACTGTTTAAATACCAGGGTTCGAAAATCTATCTATATGTAACATAAAAATACATAAATCAAAATTATAAGTTTAATTAGCAATAGTCCTTAATTCTCCCTCTATTCTAAAAATCACAACTTTTCTGTGTCATTTCTAGATCAATTTATCTTGCATGGCTTGCATAACACTGATGACGTAGCTAATTCAGAACCTGAACTCAAAATTTTGAGAACTAAAACCTTTCTAACCTAATTCTTCTCTTCGCAAGCCTCTATAACTGCACACTTTTAGTTTCAGCTCTTTTGCAGTCAAAACACTACTTTGCTCCCTTTGCTGTCATGCAGCTAACTATGCTGTTATCTAAAATGTGATACTCTGTATAAAATCATGGGGTGCATAATGATCATGTGTAACGAAAAATGTGTTTTCAGTAATTAGTTCGTATTGAGCAATAAAAACTATATTCACTTCAGCCCCATCAGACTGCAAGTCTCTCCTTCAAGTGCCATCTTTCTAACTATGCAGTAGTCTTCCCAGGATTATAACACAGAGAACCATTGTCAGTCCACTGCATCTTATTACAAGTCATCTTATTACACATATACAGTCAAATATTGAAAATCCACCGACCTGAAATCCGCACTGCCTCTCAAAAATCCGGAAACCACAACATGGAGAACGAAATACCGAAGAAAAAATACTTTCCGAATAATAATGAGTCACAACAGAAATACAACTGCCGGAAATACCAAATTATTGAGATATCAGTAAAAGTCTTTTTCCCCCCTTCAATCTGCATAGAGATAAAAAAGTAGATGATTCACTCAACTTTTCTTTCAAGTTCACTATTCATATTGTATTTTCTGAGCTTTGTTACTTCACGAGATTGTTTAATGCTCCCTTTTTTATCTGGATATTTTGTGGATAAATTTAAAATATTTTAAATTTCAGCACTTTTTAATACAATGACAGATAAGAAATGCATTCATGATTTTACTGCTTATAGCGTTGAAAAACATTAACATGTTGCTTGACAGTAATATAAAAGTGGAAATTTTGCAGAAGATGGACAAGCATGCAATAGATGGATTGCATAAGTGTCAGATTTACATATAAGCTACACAAGCTATAGCTTAGGACTCCCACTTTCTTGAGGCCACCCCCCAAAATTGTACCATATTCCATATAAAAACATTGACTTATATCTCTCATAACGGGCCCCATATCTCAAACAGCTTAGCATCTCATCAAATCTAAATTTGGTCCTGAAGATGGGGACAGGTACTACTCCTCAGTTTATAGCAGAATCATATGCAATTGCAGCACAGACCACGTATGATATACGGAAAAATAAAGAAAAGCTGTTGAAATTTCACAGCAACAGTGATTCTAACATAGGAATCTGAAACCGGTAATCTTTGCATGAGGCGAAATCGGCAAACATCACATCTGTCTTGTACGAGTGGTTCCTGCAGCGGCGAAATGATGGGGTACCAATTTCAGGACTGCTCCTGAAAGAAAAGGGAAAACAGATTCATGCTGATTTAAAAATAGAGGAGCCGTGCAACTTCAACAGCGGTTGGCTGAACAGATTTTAGAGGCATGGTATACATTATCTGAAAGTATGTTGGGGGGGGGATTTTCAGCAGATAAAGATGGTGAAAAGGAATTTATTGATGAATTTTCTTTGTTAGTGGCAGAAGAAAATCTTAGCCCGAAAGTTTTCAATATGGACAAGACTGAACGTTTTTGGCTATGTTTGCCAAGAAAGACATTTGGGACAATTGAAAAAAGTGCACCGTCAGGGGTGAAAGAAGCTAAAAAGATTACTATTTTAGAATGCAGCAACCCAGCTGGAAATTACAAATGTAAACCAGTGGCAGTGGGTAAGAACACCAATCCCAGAGTTCTGAAAGGAGTAAAATCCTTACCTGCAATTTACAAGAATAATAAAAATAAATAATTCTTGGTTCACAAAACAACCTTTGACCAAATGGTTCATGGAGCATTTCGTTAAAGAGGTTAAAAGGCATTGTAACAGTGTGGGATTACCATCAAACTGCAAGATTTCACTACTGTTAGACAACTGCTCTGCACATCCAGATGCCACCATTTTAATATATGATAATGTCATGGC